CGGGGCAGGCGCCCGCGTCAGGACCTCGGACAGGGCCGCGGCGGCGAGAGCCCTCGGCGCGGACGCCGGAGAAAGCGCTGCGCTCGGCTCGCTGACGGAGGGCGCCCCACCCCGCGGCTCCCGCTCCCTCTGGGCCTGCGACGCCTTGGCTTCCTGCTGCGCACGGGGGAGCCCCTTCCTCCGTAAGACCCGGTCCTGCGCATGCGTGAGCGCCCAGCCGCTGCGGCCGAGGTCTTCCTCCCTTTCAGCGGCGGCGGAGGCGGGGGACCTCGCAGGGAGGAAGAGGCGGCCGCCCGCTGTCCCTCTGTGTGGACGGAGTCTCCGCCCAGGTTCCTGGGCGCCTCTGTGATGCTGCTCCACGTCCGTGGCAGTGGGAACCCCGAAGCTTCTTTTTTGAGGGGCCGGGTGGCCACCTCTAACTGCTGCTTCTGAATGTCCCTGAGCAGCCTTTTCTGTGTACTCTTCAGGATCCTGTCTCCTGTCCACAGACTTCTTCCCTGCCCATCCTCTGCCACACTAGATTCTTGTGTTTCGGCGTGTCTTAGTTACTTCTTTTGTTGCTGAGACAAAATACTCAACACCTGAAGTTAAAGGAGAAAAGGTGTTTTTTGTTTTTTGTTTTTGGTGGGTTTTTTTTTGTCTTTTTGAGACAGGGTCTCACTATGCAGTTCAGGCTGGCCCTTGAGCTCTTCGTAGCCCAGGCTGGTCTTGAACTCACAACGATCCTCCTGCCTCAGCCTCTGGAGTGCTGAGATCACAGGCATGTGCCACCATGCCTGACCAGAGAAAAGGTTTATTACAGCTCACAGTTTGTAGAGGTTTCAGTTGATAGTTGGCTGGCTCCAAGGCAAGGTGGTATGGCAGAGGGGCAGCGAAGCAGAGAAACAGCAAGCAGCAGGTGAATACAGCAACCCTCTTTCTGTCCTTTATAGTTTGTCCAGGGTACCTGCCCTTAGGGTAGCCTTCCCGTTATCCACTCCCAGAACTATGCCAAACCAGCCAGTGGACTAATTTCGTAATTACACATCCTTGATCCCAGCATCACACACTGTAGATCCAGCCACCTCTGAAAAGCCCCACCTGTGGGCTGATGAAGCCTTGGGGGCACATCTAGACACGAGCCACAACAGGCCCTTGCCAATTTTCTTGTAAAGATTTGAGGATCCTAAATGGCTGGTGTGAATAATGGTGACAGTTTTCTCCCTGCTCCCATACAACCCAGCCCAAAGGCTCTACACACACAAAAATAGGGGTATAAGGTAAGAGATTTTTAATTTGCCTGGTTTTGTACCTATGTGGACTAATGTGGGATAAATCTACAGAATGGTGATTTCTGAATAAATGTTACTTTACCCTAAAATGTACAAGGGAAATAACTACTTCTGTCAGATGCATGGCTGGTTTTCATTTCTGTTCTAACACCTGTCACTTTTCTTGGGGAACCACCTAAAGCTTCTGAGTGGGGGTCAAGGGTGCCATCGTGTGCCTGAGTTTCTTTTCCAGGAGAACTAAGGAGGATGGTGTTGGTGAGGGTCAGGGAATGAGGTAGGAATCACAAGAAAAGGAGGTCGGGATCATACTGTGTGTTTCTTGGAGAGTGCAGCAAAGAGCTATCAGCCAGAAGAAGCACAGCCTGGAAGGAAGCTAAGTCCCTTTAGGGGACACTATTTCCTCTCTTGCTGGTCTGATGGCCTTTTGGAGTGGTTGCTGCCCTCGGGAGGACTCTCAGAGGAAGGAGAGGACCAGGACCTGGGGTGCAAGACTTTGGCCTTTGCAAGGGCTAGGAGTTCTCCCATGGAGTGGGTGGGTTTGTGTCTGTGTAAGCCACCTTTTCTCCATGGTCCTTACAGTCTTCAGGTCCTCTTTCAGTGCCTGTGGTTTCCCACACTTCTGTGCCAGTGGAACTAAGGCAAGCTGAATGGAGAGGGCAGGCAAATGGCATGGGCTTTCAGAGCTGCAGACTTCCAGGGCCTGCCCTCTGGGGCTGGACCTCCATGCTGGACCACACTGAGTTTGGGATGCCACAGCTGGGGCAGCAGAGTTCCCCAGACCACTTTCTTAATCTTCATCTTGGGACCAAGAGGCTTGGACACGTTTGCCTAGTGCTATTTCTTTTTTATTTGGGGTGGGGGTGCAGTTTGCAGCATGCCCGGGACCATGTGGCTTTGGCTTGCACTTGGGGAGTTTCCAGGGTTGTTTGTGGGGCCCGGTGGAGCCTGTGGGCTCACGCTGACTAGGTGACCTTTTGGGGTTTGTTTCCCTTCCCTCTCTGCCCCCTGGAAGAAGCCCAGAGTTGGAAGGTGGAGGACTAGCCTTGTGTGGTTTTTTGGACTTTTTTTTGGGGGGCGGGTCTTTTTGAGACAGGGTCTCACTATGCATTTTAGGCTGACCTTGAGCTCACTTCGTAGCCCAGGCTGGCCTCAAACTCATAGTGATCCTCCTGCCTCAGCCACCTGAGTGCAGGGATTACAGGTGTGCGCCACCATGCCCTGCTAGTCTAGTGTGTTTAAAAAGTGCTGTTTCAGGCTGGCAGAGATGGCTTCGGCAACTGTATTCTCCAGGGCCCTAGAGCCAGCCTATGGCTGACTCTTTCTGGGGTTACTTCTTCAGTACTCTTTCTCTCTCCATTCTACTTGGTTCTACCTTTGTTTGGCCTCAAGTTTATGTTCCTATCTAAAGAGTGTGTAACTTGGGTTTGATAATTAAATTTTCTTGCCTGGCTTTACATTGTGAAGTTTTGTCACAAGAATCACATCTTTTTTGTGATGTGATCAGTGAAAATGCAAGAGAGCTGAGAATTAGAAAGAGTTGAGGTATCTGTCTGAATATCTGAAATTGGGCATCCTAGTTATTGCACTGGACATCATCTTTATTAATGCTTCTCATATCGTGATTATTTAAATCTTACATACTTAATCTTAGTCAAATTTGTTTCTTCTTGTTTGATAGCTATTAAAATACAGGTGATGGCCTAAGCCCAGGACCAAAAATTGCCTTCATGGCACATCAAGAAATCCTTGGAGGAGGAAGGTGATTCCTATGCCCCCTAGATCAGACAGGGTGAGAATGCCTGGTCTTTACCTAAGTAAGACAGTGCCCCTATTCAGCAGAAAGCAGCCATGGAAGGCGGACCCTCCTCCTTCTGCAGCCCCTTATAGATTTTGGAAAGCAAGACTCTAAGCCAGGGAATAGTAAAGGTAGCACAATTGGGTCTGGGAGACCACTAGCCCTCCACCCACCTGAATTTGGGCAACACTCCAGGGCCAATCCTCCTTCTGTTGTCCTAAAAGAAGCAGAAATAAAAATAACAAAGACCCAGACTTACCACCTAGAATTAACAGTCATCTCAGTCTTGTGGGTGGTCATGTCTGTTGTTTTCTCCAGTAGTTCTGTGGTATGCCATGAAGAGGGGTGCTCTACATCCAGTTATTAATTTGTAAATTATACTTGATTTAGAAACTATGATACCTCACCTTTTAGCTGGGGTTATTGAAGTTTTTATTTTTCCATGGTGAAATCCTAGTGAAATTGGGGATGTGGCTCAGGGGTGGAGTATTTGCCTTGCTTATGTGAGATCCTGGGTTTAATGCTGTCTTAGTTACTTTCTTGTTGGGACAAAATACCTGATACCCACAATGGGGGAAGGTTTATTTGAGCTTATGCTTCATAAAGGTTCCAGTCCATAGTGAGATGGTTCCAAGCCAGCGCAGCAAGGCAGAGGGTCATGGCATAGGAGAAGCACTGCATGACGTAGCAGGAAAGAGGCAGCAAGCAGCAGCAACCTCCCTTCTTTCCCTTTTATTCCATCCAGGCTACAAGCCTAGTGGTTGGTGTCACCTCTTTTATTGAATCCATTCAGTCACACCCAGAACTACACTAAACCAATCCATGGACTAATCTAGTACCACACACCCATGACCCAGTTGCCTCGCCAAATCCTTCCCAGGGAGCTCATAAAGTTTTGGGGGATGTTTTAGATATAAAATATAGCATTCTACCCCTGGTCCCAAAAAGACTTATGTGCATCCCTTTATGCAAAATTCATTTAGTCCTTCTCTAAGGGTTGCCAGTGTCCTAACAGTTTCAGCATTGTTGAAAAGTCCAAGTCTAAATTCTTCTCTCTTAACTTCAAGCCCCTGTAAAAATGACAAGAAAGTTATATATTCCCAATTTACAATGGCAAAAGATAAACATTCCAATTCCATAAGGTACAAATAGGGGGATGGGATAAAAAGGAATGGCACCAAAGTAAGACTGAAATCCAGCAGGGCAAATATTCAATCCTATAGTTCCATGTCCAGCATCAAAAACAACCTCTGGCAACATGTCAGCTCCAAAGGGCTTTGGTGGCTCCACCCCTACAGCACTACCCCTGGTGGTCTTTAAGACAAAGCTGAGGTCAGGTGGAGGTCCTCTCCTGGTGGGAGGAGAATAACTGCCCAAGAACTATACAGTATTTATGTATACACTGGGGAGGTTGATGTCAACTTCAACATCTCTACCTAGCAACCAGCTAACAAGCTGGAACAGCTTGTTTACAAGGCTGGAGGAGCTCCCCTTGTTCTCTCATTGTCTTTGTCTTAGCCCCTGCACATGTGATTGATTTCCAGCTTTAGCTGCTCCCTACATCTCCTGCTTTTCTGTTTTGTAAGTGATGGATGTTCAGTTGAAGTTGGAGAGGCTGTGTTTGGAGAACTTGGTAGAAGACTTTTTCATTCTTGATGAACTTACTCATTTAGG